GTATGATTTGGGGTTATGGCAGTTAGCCCCCAACTCTTGGGTAAACGTACTCGGCTATGTGGCCGGGTGCGAAATGTACGGGGTGGAGCCAAGCTTTGAGGCTTTCGCCCACATGAACTATCTCAGCCGGACCCCTAAGTCGGGAGGTACCGGCTGGTATCAATTAACAAGCCATAGGGGCTACCTCATGACGAGAGGTAAGGCGAACAAATGGAAGGATTGGCGGAACACCTTCCTTATCATCGAGGGTTCAGACACGGAGCTGAACAAACGCTTTAACAAGTGGAATAGGGATCCGCCTCTTCTCGCAGGCGGCCGCAGCATGCCGCCTGTTCCCCCAAAGGCTAAAACAGAGATCCTAGACAAAGGACTCTTCAAAGTAGAGACTAGGGTGAACTCTACTTCAGGGGTACGAGAGCAAGTACCCCTAAACTGCGTCCCGAGCTTCAAGTGGCTCTATGACGAGTACTTTTTGGCCGCCTGTGGCCTCAGCAGTCGGTGCTCTAGAGGTAGCCGGCCTGACAAATACTCTGTTTTTTCACGCCTTGTTTACTTGGGATTTTTACTAACTTTGCTGTTTATTTTTTGCAGCTGACGCCATGAGTAAAATAACAGCATCCAAGACTGCGGCGGCCATGTTGCGGGTCTCTCTCATGCAACAGTCTTGTACCGACTCCCCCAACAAGGGGGCACCCTTGGTAGGCTTCGAAACTCTTCCTCTTTTAGGAGTTGTCTTATGCATATACTAACTCTCTTTTTTTTTTTTTTTTTTTCAGTCGGGCACTCCAAGAGCTTCTTCCTCGCAACAGCCGGACCCCAAGGCCCAGAGGACGACTGTTGCAAGCTCTCCTGGGTCTTCCAGGAAAACAGTGGCGGCTGAGAAGCAGCCGGCCACTTCTTCTAAAACTCCGGCGGGGCCGCCTAGAAGTATGGACAATTACTTGTAAAAACTTTTACACTTGCTTCCTTCTTGACTAGGTCTAACTTGCTTTTTTACGCTTGATGCAGCCGGCCCTCAGGGGCCTGACTTGGTAGAGGTAGCCAAGTCCATCATCAAAGCAGTTCCTCCATCTGAAAGGGAGGCGGTCAGGGGTGTCGGCACCCTTGACCTTGATGGGATTGCAGGGGTCCTTGCTGAGGTATACTTTTGAGTATTTGAATACCAGGACGCATGTTATCTTTTTTGTTTGGAAACTGACGCCTGTTTTTTTTTTTTTTTGTACTTAGGCCCTGCTCCGAGTTAACGGCCTTCGCAAGCCGCTTGATCGGAAGAACAAAGAGGTAAAGGCTGCAAAAGCTATGGCCGCCTCTGACTGTGATAAGGCAATGTTTCAAATTGCCCAAAATGAAGTACTGACCATTGATATTCTTTATTATCAGGCGCAGGCTACCGCCGCTGTTCGGGCTCAGTTAGAGGCGGCCCAGAAGAAGAATGACGAGCTGGAGGCGACCATCACAAATCTTAAGGCCGAGCTGAAACCTCTTCGCCTAAAAATGTACTCTTACGAAGCCATGGAGAAATCCTTGGCCAGCGTAAAAGAACGCCTGGTGAGCCAAGAGAAGAGTCTTACCCAAGAGCTCTCGGAAAAGGCCGAGCAAGAGAAGAAAGAGCTCGTCCGGGAGATGATGGAAGACTCCGCTCAAATCCAGCGCATGACCTGGGGCCGCCTCTTCCCCAGTGCCGACTTTGCCTCTTGGGAAAGAACGTACCGCCAGTGTTCGGAAACATATAATCAAGAGATCCTGGCGGCTGCTGAAGAAGAGGCGTTGGGAGAAGCGTTGGAGGAGGAGGAGGAGCCGGTTGTGGCGCTTGTGCCACTTGGGGGTAAGGCATCAAAAAAGGATGCAGCTGAAGCCGAGTCCAGCAAGAAGAGTGCTGACCAGGCGGCAGCTGCTAATACTGAACTGCCCCCTTCTTAAGCTTAATGTATTCTTTCCACGGCCTGCGTGCCGTTTGCTTTGTATTTACCCGGCCAGGGGGCCGGGGCTTTGAATATTTTGCTGGTCTTTAATGACCGGCTTATTTTTAATGAATTTTTGTTTTGCTTCAAATTTGTCCAAGTATTCCATATCTAATATCCAATAGTTTACTAGACCGACTGTTGTACATGGCCGAACGTTGCAGACAGGTACGGATAATTAGTACGCCGCCTATGCCCCTGGACGACTGGTTGTCTGTTTCCAGGATAGACGATCAGTCGGCCATTTATTCAATCGGTATTCGAACTATTTTGTCTGAATCCTTTTTAGGCAGGCGTGCCTGTCTTTTTGTAATTTTAACCAAGTAGGAAAGTGGTCTGACCAAGTAAATAGAGTATTACCTAGTCTCCAAGGAATTGAGTAGTAGAGATAACAAGCGGCAGGTACCGGTTGTTTCCCTTTATGCCAATGTTGTTGGCTTTTAACTCATAATTTGTTAACCTAGCAAGAGTAGTGGTTGAGAGCCCCTGTGTGTTAAAAACAGGCGGACGACTCATACCTTTAAGGCTCCATACTAAGTTTGAGTGACTATTAAGTTAACATAGGAGTTACTTAGTCTTCGTCACAATCTAGATTGAGTAGTAGAGGTACCAGGCGGCGGAGGCCGGCTGATCCCCTTGATTTGCCAACGTTTGTTGGCTATTAACTCAATAGGTTACCTAGTAGGAAATAGGGGTTTGAGTGCCCCTGTTTGTTAAAAACAGGCGGACGACTCAAACCTTTTAGGTTCCATACCAAATTTGAGGGAGTGACTATGAGTTAACGTTGGAGTTACTCAGTCGCCGTCACTTTTGTTTGAGAAGTAGAGGTACCAGGCGGCGTAGGCCGGCTAGACCCCTTGATTCGCCAATGTTTGTTGGCTATTAACTCAATAGGTACCCCCTGCATTTATCCCAAATAATACAGGCGGTCATCTGACTCAGATGTCAACTGCTACCACTGGTTTGGTTAGTGATAGAGTTATCCTTGTCTCAAAAACGGCTACGTGGTTGCCCTTGGGGACAGTCGAATAGGTGCCGTGTAATTAGTTTATAGAACAATGTTCCACCCAAAAGGGAGCTGCTCTCTGCGACGAATTTCATCCGGAGGGATGCCGTCGGACGCCTGCTATGATGTTGGGACAGGTCGTATTAGTTTTGTAGATTTGATCAGTTGGCTTGGCGCCTAGTCTGATCATTCAGCCTGTGGCCTTGGTAAGTTCTTGGTGAACGTAGGTGCTAAGGAGGGTAGCCGCCTGTTAGGCACAGGGTCGGCCAGGCCCTAATTTTTTAGCTGAGTATTAGGGGGGTGGCTATGTGTTTGGAACCAGTCGGCCATCTTCTTATGGAGAGTAGTCGACTATATGCCCAGGCGACATGCCCCTATTGTGAGTGAAATACTCAATGGAGAGTAGCCGACTGTAAAGGTACAGACGGCATGCCCCTCTGAAGATAGAGTGTAAAACTCAATGGAGAGTAGCCGACTGTAAAGGTACAGACGGCATGCCCCTCGTAATACAAAATTGAATAGTAAGTGCAAACTTTTATTAAGTATCTCTTTACTTTACATCATTCAAAAGAAATATTTCTTAAGATTATCTACATTCCAAGTTCGAGGCAACGGTTGTCCGTCTGGTGTTTCCAGACGGTAGGTACCGTCCCTGACTTCCTCATAGATTCGGTAGGGTCCTTCCCAGTTGGGAGTTAGTTTGCCAGACTCATTAGCCCTACCAACTGCTTCCATTTTTCTAAGTACAAAGTCCCCTACTTTGAGTGGACGCCTGTGTACTTTTTTGTTGTATGATCTAGTCATTCTCAGGCGATAGATCTCATGGCGCAAGACAGCATTGCCCCTCTTTTCAGGAAGTGAGTCTAATGCCAGGCGCATGGCTTCCCAGTTTGCCTCTTCGTCATATAGCATTACACGAAGAGTCGGCTCGTAGTGTTCTATTGGAAGAACAGCTTCCGCACAGTAAGTTAGGAGGAATGAAGTTTCTCCAGTCGCCCCTTTTTCAGTCGTCCTAATGGCCCAGAGAACATGTGGTAGTTCATCCGCCCATAGGCCGCCTGCTCGTTCAATCTTTTTCTTGAGACCGTCTGAGATGATTTTATTAAAGGCTTCTACCTGGCCGTTTGCTTGTGGACGGCCGACAGATGCAAAGTAGTTTGCAATTCCTTGGTCACCCAACCAGCTTTTGAGAACAGGCGTCTCAAATTGGGGACCATTATCAAAAACCATAGACATGGGAACCCCGAACCGAGTGATGACATTGTTCCAAATGAATGAAATTACATCTTTCGTCTTGATTCCCTTTACAGCCTCCGCCTCTACCCATTTAGTGAAGTAGTCGACGTCAACAAGTATGTACCTCCTTCCGCCTGTAGCAGGCGTATATGGACCCAGAATGTCCATGCCCCACTTAGCAAACGGTAGTGGGCTGTGAATGGTAGTGAGGTCAGTAGCCGGACGGTGAATTAGTTTGTTCCGTAATGTTTCTGTTCTGTCTCCCCCCTTAATGAGGATTAAGGGAGGTATTTATAACCTTGGGAAACATGCCCATCCTAGGTTTAGGTAAACCTAGGGCCGATTGGGCTTCCCTCGGAAGTTGGGCCTGGGTGGCCGGTTTCTCCATTAGGCATGGAGTATGCCACATGTCGTGACATAACAGGTCCAAGGTGGACGAATAAGCGCGTGCCACGTGGCAAGCCCTGACAGTTCCAACTAGGGGACACTTGGCAGGTCCTGATTGGCCCACGTGGCGCATTCCGATTGGTAGGAGCAAAATCCCCTAATCAACGTTCACTCAATCCATATCATGAAACATACATGCCGATCAAAAGGACTTTCTAAAGCTTGTAATGGGGCTAAGGTAAAAGGGTAGGATAAATTTAGGAAAAGTGAGTAAAAAGCCAATTTGAATCACTTCAATCCAACATAGGCGTTTCTCGCTCCCTCGCTGCTGGGCGTAGCATCAACTTCACAAGCTTGAATCACTTCAATCAAAAGGACTTCGAAGGCGGTTATGAAGGGTATGACGCATAGATGGTGTATATGGCACATTCTCAACAAGTTTGCTCAGAAGTTAGGCAAGCGCATCTACTATCCTGAGTTTAAGGACGGACTGCACCAAGCCGTATATAACAGCCTTGACTGTGAGGAATTCGAACAACGTTGGCCGGAGGTTATTAAGAAGTATGAAGCTGATGATGATGAGTGGCTGGCAGGTATGGTGTTAAACAGATCTTGTTTCCTTTTTTTTCTTGCAGATTATTTATCTTTTTCTTTGTTGTCTGTTGTTTTTTGCTGCTGTGTTGTATTGATAGTTGCTGCTCACATCTATTCTGGTGATATATGTAGTAGTCTATAAGTGATTGATGTTGATCCTGTTCCTTGTTTTTTAATGAGTGGTTGTGTGGCTACCATGTTAGGCTTGTATGAAGAAAGGGCTATGTGGGTTCCAGCATATGTGAAACACTTGTTTTGGGCCGGGATGAAAACCACGCAGAGGGTCGAAAGTATTCATAGCTTTTTTGATGGCTATTTGAGCAAACACACGTTGTTACATGAATTTGTGGAGAGGTATGAAGAAGCGCTCTCGGTTAGAGCAAAAACAGAAAAGAAGACTGACGACAACAATGCCAGGTATGTGAGGAAGGCCTGCACCGATTTTCCTGCTGAGCTTTTCTTCTAGAAGATTTACACGGATGCCAAATTCAAAGAAGTTCAGCGTGAATTCACTCGTATGATATATGTCAACAGAAGACATGTTTCCGATCATGTTGTTGAGCATGTTGTCGAGGATAGAGTTTGGTACAAGCCCCAAATCTCTAAGAAAGAGTTGCCCTCCAAGCGTAAGCGAAGGTACGTGGTTACTCTTGACATTGGTAGTAAGGATGCTTGGTGTGAGTGTAAGTATTTTGAATGTCATGGGATTATATGTCGTCACATAATTAAGGTGTACGAGTTGCATGATCATGTGGGTATTCCAGATAAGTTCATCTTGAAGCGTTGGAGGAAAGATGTGATGCGGCCGTATACCCGTGTGAAGGTTGGTTATCATGATCCGAGTAAGACAGAGGAGGTTTGTAGGTTTGACAAGATGATGGTGAAGTTTGGTTCTGTTTGCTCTAAGTCGTCCTTTTGTAAAGAAACAACAACACTTGTTCTTGATACGCTTCAGTTACTTGAGATTCAAGTGGAGGAGATGGTTGACATGATTAACAAAAAGGGTGACAAGAATGGTTCTTTGGAAAAAGAAAAAGGAACTCCTGTTACTCCATCCACGCAGAGGCAAGGAAGTTGCTCTGAGATACCCAAAGATCCTCCTATTCCTAAAAATCCGGCTCACCGCACAACAGATGTGAGATTCCCATCGTGTATTGAGAAAGCAAAGAAGGGTAACACTAATCGACAGAGTTGTAGTAAAAAAAAAGGCTAAACGGCAACAATGTAGCACTCCCTCCAGCAACCAGGTTTTCATTATCCCATTTCATCGGCTAATTTAAAACATGTTTTAAGTTTAACATAGCTATTTCATCTATATATGTATTTTGTGGTGCAGGGTTATTTTTTCCCCTACAGCCCCCAATCTGTCGGCGGGATACAGATGGTTGATGGTGATGGTTCTATTGGGTACTTCACTGGTGTTTCTAGAGGCTCTGAAAGTGATCTTCAGGCAATGTATAAGGCTGGTTGCATTCCTTATCAGTATACACATTATAGGCCAATGTATCCATTTGGTGTTTTGGCAGCATCTCCCCATTCCCCTCACACTCCTCGTTCTACAGCATGTTCCACAGCTGGTGGCAGGCCTATGTTCAGACCTATTGCTCCAAAACCTCCGATGTTCACCCATGGTAATATACGCTACACAACTCCACCTCATGCATCGGTACACCCTACTAATCAGCAGCAGCAGTAGCTCACCGTTTTTGGAAGCTTAACTGATGAACTAAAAACATAATTCCTGACTTATAACTCTTTAGGACAGGTGATTTAACAGTGTTAACATGGTAAATTTTTTGTAAAGAATGCATTTATTGTAAGTCTCTTAATATTTTGCAAGAGGTTACATGTCCTATTTGTTGGGGGATTTTTTGTAAAGATCAAGACACTGATCCTAAATATAGCCAATATATTTACTTTGATGTATGTAAAGTAAAAAACCGTTTTAATTTCAAGTATTATTTGTTCTACATTATATTTGAGTTTCCTAATTTGTCACAAATAGACTTGGAAATATAATGATATGGGGACATGTACTTATACATTTAAGATTGCCGCTGGATTAGATTATGAATCAGTGCATGAGCATGTAATTGTTGAACTCGAAATGATTACACAGTGCTACTCGTGAGTTATCTAGTTGAAGCCATTATTGTAACAGTTACCCATAACACTTCTTGCTAAGTTACCATTAACAAGTCCATTCCTCACACTGACATGTCCTAGGGTTCGGCTGAAGTTTTGTCATAACTATTCTGTGGACGTATGACTGAAAATATTTATTTTTCACTGGGATTTAATAAAATTTAACTGGGATATTACAATGATGCACTAATCACTATTATAAAAAGAGTAACTGATTCCGTGTAGGGTTCGACTTCAAACTCCTAGGGTTTAACTAACAAGTACAGAGTTACCAAATAATGTGTTTGGATCCATTTCATAATTCAATGTATTAGTTTTGAATCGTAGATTTGGGTTATTACATTCTTATTTCTTTTCCAAACTACTCCTACACTGACTTCCACCAATTACCGCGTCACATTAACCAAAGTGCACAAAATAGTTAGGCCATATATTGTTCTAGTTAAGACAGTGTTGTAACGAGTGTTATTGTATCGTGTATTATGTATGATGGGGTCATTAATATTTGTTGTTTAACCCGCTCGTACTTAACCTTTTATTGATATTTGACTACCACTGATGTGTTGCATGACCCTTTATTGATAACATGATCCATTTCATATTCCACGATCAATACTCAAGTAGGGATTATCACTTGGATTTATAGTAGTACTACTAATAGTAATATTGTCACACTGAAACTGATCAGGGTTGTGCTGTAACGCTTAGAAATAACAATCATAACGCAAGTAATGGTTTATGTCACATTTGAACTACTCTACATGACGTACGTATGTATGTAACTGTATATTACAAGGGTTGGATTGAAGGGTCCTAGGGTTGGACTGAAGTTTTGCTGAATTATAATTATCCACTAGGATTCAAAATAATTTATCTGGGTAGTGAAATACTACGCTTTGTGCATTTTTTAGAGTGGTACTGATACTCTTTAGGGTTCGACTTCAAAATCCTAGGGTTTAACTATGAAGAGTAGAGTATCGGAACAACAAGGTGTATTATAAGAATACTTGATGAATGTTGTAGTATTATAGTGTTCTTAGTTTGTGAACACATTCTGTACTCAGGTCAAAATTATTTCAAAACTTACTTCTACACCTAATCCGTCACATTGTCCTACTTGCAAAAAATATGTATGCCGAATTACATAGAAAGTCAGTCCTGTTTCGATTTATATTGAAGTGTCCTATACCTTTACCGTTGGGAGCACAAAATTCTCTTCTTACCACGAATATTTATTACGTGCTTCACTTTAGGACTAATCTTGATTACTTGCATGAGATATAACAAGGCCTTTTGTCGATTGTGTTAGTAATCACTCATTTGCCATTCCATTTTCATTGATGTACATTCACTCCCGTTGAATTAATAAATATAACTGGGATACAGAATAGTAGAACTGGAAGAATTATTATCCAACTGAAGTGTAAAAGGGTACGGCTGCTGTTTTCAACATGCTAATTCAATCCACAAATTATTACGTCAGTTACTTGAAAAAGGTTTGTAATAAAATTGGGGTACAACTATCAATAGGTACATTGAAGGTCTTTTTTGTAAGGGTATTCACATATAACTGGGATACAGAATAGTAGCACTGGAAGAATTATTATCCAACTGAAGATATCTGCATGTGTGGGGTAACCTTGGCGGCCAAAAATTCACAATTTACCGCCTTGTGAGATCTATAAAAGGGGACAAAGTTCTTCATTTCACTCTTATAATTCCTCTAACATGTCTTTCAACTCAAGTTCAACTTCAAATAGGGCACGGCATTTTTCAAATCCAAAATCAAATGTAATTTGGATTGCTGCTAAGAATTGCAACTGTGGAGGACAGTCTCTGGCGGAGTTTCGAATTTCGATGTCTGCGGCCAACCCTCACAGGCCTTACTACAAGTGCCGCTACTGCAATTTGGCAATGGGCAAGTGAGGTGGATTTCATCAGCCACGGAAACGGAACTTCTATGGGTGTTCTTAGTCAGAGAATTTACAATTTGGAGCGTATCGCGTGGAAGCTTATAAAGCTTGTTGTTGTTGTTTCTATTATCACAGTGTTGCTAAAATTAAAATGATTTATCCAAGAACGTTTATCATCCTCGATTGTGCGTGTCGCTTTCATTTTAATTATGTTACTAGTGAAAATGTAATTGCTTCACAACCTTTTATGTACTCGGAATGTAAAGGGAATTATTTCAACACACCAACATGATTTTAATATCATAAATTAAGCCCCAATGGGTATGACCACATCAAGGCTTAACATACTACACAAAATCTCAACAGATACATTAACCAAAGTCTTAACATTTGAAACAGAGAGTTCTTAAAACTTACAGCGTCAACATAACAACAGCAGGTGCAAAACCCAAAAGTCTGAAAAAAAAAGACACCCTGATTAGGTTGGTACGTAATAGCCAAATAGGTAACGCTAGACCCATAAACACAAAGAAACCCAACAACTTCAAGGCGTGAGGTGGTCATTCCAGTCATGGATTGTGGGGTCATCTTGGCCTACTCCATTATAGTCACCACTGCTTGAAGAAGAGGCCGGTTTCGGTGACGGGGTAAGGTGATCATTCCAGTGATGGGTTGTGGGATCATCAGTCGGATCACCTCCGGAATATGGCGAATACGACGATGGTGGGGTCGGGGTCCTTCCTCCCTGTGTACTTGACTACATTACACCACCAAATGGTTAGGTAATACACTTTAATTAACCAAGACTATGACCCAACATAAGTTCCTCCCAGACATACTATTAAAAACAATGTATAACAATAAAATGAATATGTAAGATCATAAACTAATTTTTGACTAATTAACTAGGATTTAACAATCAAGAGTAATATGAAGTAGGGAGTACTATTTGGACACGCATTTAATTTTTTGGTATCGACATTTTAGTAGATGTTGCGTTTTGAACGTGTTGTCCAAGAAGGACTAATTACCTCAATATCGACACCAAGTTGATGCCCAAAGTACGAATCTCCTCTCTTAGTCACCCATGGGTTCAATTCTTTCATATCCCAAATGAGCAGCACCTCACTATACCCATTGTCACCTCAAAACACTTCAATGTCGTAGACACTCCGAAGCTGGAACTTCAGGTAATCCACTATTGATTGGTCGAACCGAGCCTCAGTGACCACCACAAGAACAGGGGCGTAAAAAGAGAACAGCTCACAGAAATTCTCAACAAATGACGGCCTGTGGACATTCCTAGCATTCCAAACTATGACATTGGACCCAGGAGGTAAGTAACGTTGAGTTGTTTCAACGTTAGTCTCACAGCCGTGGAGTGATACACGAGAATACTTCACCTTCTTCTTCTTTGTAATACAGCAATGCACATCCAAATGAATTGATTTGAGGTTGTTCTGTACCTCCATAATGTGAACAGCTGCGATTAATGCACCTATGAAGACGTGCCTTTGTTGTAAAGGGAACGTGTAGATCGGGAGTTGGTCGGGCTGAACTAAAGGCTTTAAATCAAAGATTGGAACAATATCCTTAGTGATGAACTCGTCATCTCTACTGACGGAGTTTTCACACACCCATTTTGCGAAAGGGCCAACCCCCTTGTGGAGATAACCTTGCAAATCTGACAAGTCTGGATAGTAAGCAGGTCGGAGTTTTCTCTCAGCCACTTCCATCAAGCTGTTAGGAATGTAGGTGGTGGTATTCAGGTCAAGAGAACTGATCAGTTGCTCTCTTAGGAACCTAGGATGAATTCTCACAGCATCCGCATAGGATTCGTGATCATCAAAATAAGGTGTGGAGTTAAAATCAAGTTCGGGGGTGTTTGTGGTGAGGAAGGGCTTGAAGTACATGACTGGCTCGGTAGGGTGTTCAAGTACGTACCTTCCCCAAGAACCCATTACATAAGTGGGATCATTTCCAGGGCTAGTCATGGCTTTGGTACTTTTTGGGGATTTTTTTTCAAGCAACGGGTTCAAAGCTTTTAAGAGAAAAGGAATAAGTAGTAGTAATTGCAAATTGAATGGGGAAGGTTATAAGAATTACACTATGAGATTTAATAGTAAATGTGGGAAGTTTATAAGAATTCCACTAGGAAGTAAACAGTAAATGTAGTTAAGATACATTTGACCAAATCCCAGAAAATCCGAACAGCAGAGAAGTAGAGCAGAGTGCAGAGTTTTGTTTCTTTTACGAGGGTAACTGACAACTGGTAAGTTGAACTGAGCAAGCAAAAAATAGAGATAAGACAATACATATTCAGTCAATGATAGTACAATTTTTTTGGGGGCTCAAGACATCAAGGCATAGCCTTATATTAGAAGGGTAAAGCTAATTTAGTGGTAAAGAAAGCACAATTTAAATAGCCTTACATTTGAAGGGTAAAGCTAATTTAGTGGTAAATAAAGCACATTTTAAATAGCCTTACATTAGAAGAGTAAAGCTAATTTAGTGGTAAATAAAGCACATTTTAAATAGCCTTACATTAGAAGGGTAAAGCTAATTTAGTGGTAAAAAAAGCACATTTTAAATGAGCCATCATATTAAGGTTAAGGAGGTTTGCATTTTGTAAAAGACAATCCCATCACAAAAACATTTTCTTACCTCCTTGGACATTTT